CTTTGTGACTTTGTCAAAGACATCACTAGGAAGCAGGAAAAACAATTTATTTGGTCTAGAGCTCAGTGTTCTCTGAAGCAAATCACAGATGGCTTTTCATAAGCTTACCTTTTTGTGTGTTATGCAGTCTTTTTCTGTAATCATTTGAACTCAATCTAAATCTACTCCAATGTGCTTTGATACAAACCTTTTTTACAGAAGGCAAAAATAGAAGAGTACATTTTCTATTTCATTGTTGCACCTTTAAGCATGTGTAATGGTGTTAAACAGGTAGCAATTTTGAACTTGGAGGCTTGTGCCATTCCCATTGTTTTCAGTAATTCTGTCTTTCTTTCAGCCACCTATTTCTCTGATTCTGTAGTAGCTAAGCACTGGAGAAAACAATGCTGAGTAAAACTCAGACCTCACCCTCAGCTTGGTTACTATAATATTTAAAGTAGCCTTCATTAAAAGAAAACATGCAGTATTGAAATGAATGAGATAATATCTATTCATTGACTTCAAAAGATACCTGAGATACTGTTAATTTAAAAAGTAGGCCGGGTTCAACCTGAGCTCCCTCATGTAATCCCAGCTCTTTGGGAGGCTGAGGTGGGAGGATTGTCTGAGGCCAGGAGATCAAGGTTGCAGTGAGCTTTGATTGTGTCACTGTACTTCAACCTGGGCATCAAAGTTAGACCCTGTCTCTAAAAAAAATAAAAATAAAAAATACATTGCAGCCCATGAGATGTAGCATTAGTTTCCTTTTTTGTTGTTAAAAAAATTAAATGTGCATAGGTTTGTATGTATGAATTATATAAAAAAGAATAACCTCTGAAACTGTTGGTAATGACTGGAGACAGAAGGTGTAACTTTCATTCTATACATGTTTTTAATGAGAGAATTATGTGTGATTTTTTAACTTTTAAAATATTTATTAGGATTTTTAATGTAGAAAAATTTTAAAGGGTGTACATAAGATTTTTATTTGGAGAATGTTTATAGTAAGTGTAAAACAGAATTAGAGTATGATTTTGATTTTCTGATGTATCTAAATTTTCTATATAATACGGCTTTTATAATATGACAATAAAGAAGTTTTTATTAAAGCATTCTTCCTGCTATGCTTTCAATAAGAATAAAACAAAAAATCTAAAGCAAGGTAAGGATCCTAACTAAAAGTGGGGGTTGGTGATAATGGGAATGTGTAAATAGGGAAACATCTTGTTTGATTATTGGGTTTTTTTCCTGATGTCATTAAGTTCATTTGCATAACTGTAATACTACTAACAGTCATAATAATAATGGTAGAGTTAACATTTACTGAATTGCTTATTGAAGCCAGATACTGTTCTAAGTATTTTACATATATTAGTTTATCCTCTGAGGTATGCTCTATTATTACCCCGATCTTAAAGACAAGGCTCAGAAAACTTAAATATTTTACCCCTATTTCATAGGTTACAAAATGGTAGTAATAAATGGCAGATCAATCATATAAACCTATATGGTTCCTCTCCAGAGGTTGTACCCTACACACTCTGCTATCCTAAGTGCTAGTTTGTGAGCTTCTAAATACTGGTCCAATTGTCAATAAGGCTTTTAGTTTTTCTGCATTAATGGAAAGAGATTATTAATTTTAGGTTAGGATTTTGACACTCCTAGTATCCAAATTTACTTTTCAGCCCATCAGGGATGGTGAAAGAACTTTTGTGATTTCTGCATCCTATGAAAAATGAACAGATGCTGGTGATAAAATTGTAACTAACATGTTGTTGCTTATATTCTGTTTTTTTCCCTCTGGGCAAGCATCTTGGCATAATGGAAAAATGATGGGCTTTAGCTTCAGCTAGATTTCAGTTTAATTCTGGCTTCAGTATTTTCTAGTGCAAGCCTATGGCTAAGGCACATTACTTTGTTTCTTCACTTGTTTAAGGATGATAATATTGCCCTTTCAGATTGGTTATGAGGATTACATGAAATAATGTAGGTAAAAGACCTTTAATGTAGAGTCAGGCATATAGTAAGATCTTAATAAATATTCAGTCACTTCTTCAGGTAGGTGTCTTAGAATTGAGTTGAGGATTAGTCTTGGGAAACATTCTACCTCTTTTTTTTTTTTTTTTTTACTATAAAGTGCAGTTATAACTGCTGCTGGATAATGAATATTCTGTGAAAAAATATTATTTAATAATATTTTAAGTTGCCTGATTAATTCAGCACATTCTTATATACAGACTGAAATGATTTGTGACAGTTAATAAATTTATTCATAATGATTCTGCATTTCAAATCATGGTGACATAAGACATTATAATCACTTATCTTGTAAATATATATTTTGAAACTCATGATCTGGTATTATAGGAACATTTTATCTCAAGTCATACTATTACTCATGTAGCATTCTTTGATTAGTTTTCTCATATGAGCTTTTATCACCTTGATCTGGTCAGTGTTTTCACAGTTTTATCTATTTTGTAATATATTTTTATATTATTTTTGCTAATCTTATTGTCTGCTATTTAATATTAAATGTTACCAATTTCTATTAATGCTTTTTCCCCATCTTTTCCCTTTGGGTCATTTAAAAAAAGGTAATGGATTTTGCTCTGTTGCTTGTACAGAAAAATATCATGGTATATTTATTATTAGAGTGATTATAGACCTGGCCTGTGGTGCTAATTGGTATCTTATATAGTTTGGAATCATGTTGCTTTCTCAAAAAGGGTGGCAGAGGCCGGGCGCTGTGGCTCACGCCTGTAATCCTAGCTCTTCGGAGGCCGAGGCGGGCGGATTGCTCAAGGTCAGGAGTTCAAAACCAGCCTGAGCAAGAGCGAGACCCCGTCTCTACTATAAACAGAAAGAAATTAATTGGCCAACTGATATATATATATATAAAAAATTAGCCGGGCATAGTGGCACATGCCTGTAGTCCCAGCTACTCGGGAGGCTGAGGCAGAAGGATCACTCGAGCCCAGGAGTTTGAGGTTGCTGTGAGCTAGGCTGACGCCACGGCACTCACTCTAGCCTGGACAACAAAGTGAGACTCTGTCTCAAAAAAAAAAAAAAAAAAAAGGGTGGCAGAGAGCAACTAGATTCTGGCTGGAGAACTGAGGAGCTGTCTTTCCAATTGATTAGTTTATTTAAAATCCTCTTTCCCATAATTTAATAATTGAGCATTATCTATTATTTATCCAATAGATTAGCTCAGTTTCAAAATATTTATTTTATATATGACTTTATTACTTAACCACCTAAGATAAAAGGTATTGGGTTTAAGGAAATCTGAGAATGAGGAAACATTTAAGGACCTCCATGAAAGGGAGCTGCTTTTATTCTCTAATAATGTCTGGAACAAATGCCAATTACATGCCTTCACTGAAAGTGCTCGTTTGTGTCCTGATTATGGTCACTACTATTCTTGCTTTCCTGAATCTTTACTCCTGGACAATAAACAATGCCAGTAGAAACTAAAGGTGGCCATTTTTCTTCTCTCTAAAGAAAAATTTAATATTGACTACAGTTAAAATAAAACATTTGTGTTATGTTTATAAGGCAGATATTCTTGGGAAGAAAGTGATTTTTTAAAAGATGCCTCTTTAAATGGTCTTAGCTAATGTTTGAAGTCTTGCATATTTGAAAAATCTTTATTCAGTCAGTGAGAGGTTTGATATAGAATTCTATATAGAAAATAATTTTCCCTTTTGAAGGTATTTAAAGCCTATTAGATTGGCTTCTGTCTTCCATTGGTTCTGTTGAGAAGTTGTTTTTTGTTTATTGTTTTATTTGGTACCATTTTTGAATCTTGCTCTTTAGTTTGTGACCTGTTTTGTCACTCAGGAACCTTTAAAGATATCTCTTTATTCCTGTTGTTTTAAACAATTTACATGATATCTTTTTGCCTCCAGTGACTTGGAAATGCATGGGGACAGTTTTGGTAGTCAAAGTAACTGGAGTTGCTGGGGGAAGGTACTTTTTGGCATTTAGTGTATAGAAGTCAATAAGATTAATTTTCTTGCAATGCAGGGAACCCAGTCTCATCCAAAATGTCAATAATGCCTCTCTTTGGAAATGTTGTGACCCTGGGGAAATAAAAGAATAATTATGACCTGCATGTTGATTATAGTATATGACAAGAGAAACAAGACATGTATACCAAAGACCAATCAATATGTTTGTATAATAATGTTATAGACATGCTATTTCAAATAATGAGGGAAGAAAGTATAAGTGATATAGTATAAACTTAAATAGAATGAAAATCACACAGCCTTTAAAATTATTTATAAATATATATTTACCATGTTACTGCTTTTGCTTTCAAGTTGGACATTATATGCACTATTATTCCTAGTAATGTTTTTGACACTTTTTTCTATATTTCAATTTTTGACACTTTTTTTCTGTATTTCCAAGTAGTACCTACTCTTAATTACTTTGACGGATCAAGAAAATTATTGACCCTTTTCTATAGTAGGGCATCTATTTGTAATACAAACATGTAACAATTCCAGATCGAGAAAGATTTGAGAAGGAACATTTTTTAAAGGCCAGAATGTGACTAATAATGATAACTGTACACTTCTAAATTAGAATGGGATTCAGAAAGGAGCAAGGGTTGTACTTGTGCAGTTTCATAGCAGTTTCTGGGTTAGCAATTTGCAATTCTATTTCATCAGTGTTTTGGGAAATGAATTATCAGAATAGCATATACAGATAGCCATATTATAACAATGCAAACATTCAGGGACAAAGACAAATGGCTTTTGATTGTCCATTCCTTCATGATTCATATTATGGTTTACTAATGTGGCTAATTAGAAAAGTATGCATTAGAAATATAAGACTCTGAGGAAGCACAGAGGGATTAAGATAATGAGATGGGAAGATGGGGGAAAATTTTAAAATAGTAGTTCAATAATTTTGTATTAAAAGAATTTTTAAGCATTTTTAAATAATGAAATATTAATGCAGAGTCTTCATTTTAATTGTGTGTATAATATACTTTTACCTTTCAGAACCTAAGTCACAGCCCCAGCAGCTTCATCAGGGACAACATAGATTGTCAAATACAGATCAAAATGGAGTAAAAGAAAATAATCAACCAAGACATCTTCCTAGAAATGATAGCAGGCAGCCAAGAAATGAAAAACCTCCTCGTTTTCAAAGAGACTCCCAATATTCAAAGTCAATTTTAGAGGGCAGCGGATTACCTAGAAATAGAGGTTCTGAGAGACCGAATACTTGTTCAGGATCTGAAGTATGGGCTGAAGAGAGAGTCAAGTGTGATAGACCATATTCTAGATATGACAGAACTAAAGATACTTCTTATCCTTTAGGTTCTCAGCACAATGATGGTTCTTTTAGGAAAAGAGATAACTCTATGCAAAGCAGATCAGGAAAAGGTCCATCCTATGCAGAGGCAAAAGAAAGTCCACTTCCTCAAGAATCCATAGATTATAATAATCAAAAACGTGGAAAAAGAGAAAACCAAACAGCTAATCCTGATCATTTTTATGATAGGAAATCACGAACAATAAGTAATGAAGCTTTCAGTGGTATAAAAATTGAAAAACATTTTAATGTAAATACCGATTGCCTGAATCCCGTTCGAAGTAATAGCTTCATTGGTGTTCCAAATGGAGAGACAGAAATGCCTCTGAGAGGAAAACGAGTAGGACCTATTAAGCCAGCAGGACCCCTCACAGCTATACCCTATGATGATAAAATATTTTATAATAGTGGGCCCAAAAGAAGATCTGGGCCAATTAAGCCAGAAAAAGTACTAGAATCATCTATTCCTATGGAGTATGCAAAAATGTGGAAGCCTGGAGATGAATGTTTTGCACTTTATTGGGAAGACAACAAGGTATGGATACTTTAAAGCTACTTTGTACTAATATTAATAAATGTAACATTCTAATAGGACTTTTATAGAAAACCATTACTTTGGGACTATGAGTTTTTTTTACAGCTGTACCTTTGAACATATTTATAGATACAAATTTTATATAAATTTAGATGAATGTAAGTTTTATATAATTTATAGAAGATAGATAAAATATTTAATATGTTTTATGGATGCTTACAGAGAATGTGTCCCATAAGATTTGCTTTGGTTAGGTTTGGTTTTAGCTTACATATCAGAAAAGTATTGTAAAAGTGATTAAGTGAAGTTGAACTTTATTTCGCGTATCAGCTGAATTGCAAATGTTTGATTTTCTTTCTGGTAAAATTGTACTGATACACAAGGAAGAACATCGGCTGAATGGCACAAAATGAAATTCTGTAGGTCTCTATTTAAACAAAACATATACATTCAGCCTACTTTTTAACAATAATTAAGAGAATATAAGTTAATTATTTACCTTATACTAAATCATTTAATAATTATTAAGCCAATAATTTAAACGTTTTTAGTTCTACATTATATGCTGGCTAAAAGGAAAAGAGGAAAATTGTAGGGGAAAGACAGAAGGAAAACCAGAGAATGAGGGCTAAAAGGAATATAGAGGATCAAATAAGAGCCTGGCTGAAAGGCAGAAGACCAGCACAGTGGCAGCAGGAAGGAGAAAAGGACAGAGGGGGCACCCTCAGAGAAAAAGGCCTTTGCCCATGGTTTTCCCTCTGCCCAACACGCTCTTCTACCAGCTACTCTTTTCATCCTTGACGGTTTGACTCAAACATTACTTCCCTAGAAGAAGCCTCCTTTGACCTGTTACATCCTTCTACCTACATTATTCACTTTCTCAATCAGTGCCTTGTTCACTTTTTAAATCTTATCATAATTTGTAAATGTGTTTGGTTTTGGTTCCTGGATTGGTATCTCTTTCCCCTTAAGTTCCTTGAGGACTGGACTAAATCTGTCTAGTTTTCTTCTGCAGTCCTTCTTCTCCCACAGTATAGGTATTTCATAACTATTTGTTGACTCTTAATTAGTTAATTTTGGAGGGGACACTTATATATGAATAAGGTAGAGGAGTGAGGGGATTGGAAATATTAGCAAGGTAATGAAAACAGAAATAAAGGAGTTAGAGTGAAGAATCAGGTCAAAGAGGACAAATATTTGAAATAAATATTTCATAGGTAGACTAGTTTTAGTTGATAAGGTAAAGATGAGTCCATGAGCGTGTGTGGCTAAAGGGAATGATGAAAGTAAAGGTAACTGAAGATTTCAAGGAACTGAAATTCAGATTAGGGAATTTGGACAGATCCTTTATAAAGTTGCTATAGGACTTGGAATCAGGACCCAGGCTCTGTTGTGTTCAGTGAAGGATGAAGTTATAAGCAGGACATTAGGCATTGCCTGATAATAGAACAAGGAGGAGCACAGGGTTATACAGCCGGATGGCATGGGCATTTAAGATTTTTGTATGAATGTGGGATAATATTTGTGGACAAGTAGCATCTGTAGCTGTCGATGCTAGAAGGAGAGGAGGAGACAGCACTATGTATCTTTACTTTTTTTCTGGAAAACCAAAGCCTTCCCAGGAATACCCAGCAGGCTTTTATTTAAATCTCATTGGTTGGAACTATTTCACATGGCTACTCTCTGGCTAATCAGGGAGGCTTAGAAAGCAAAGGCAGGTGCTTTCCACTATCTAGACTCACAACTCATACCACTTACTTTCCAGAATTCAGGAATTATTTGATTTGGGTAGTGGGGGATTCATTATATTTAGCTATGCCTCTGTCATTGTAGAGGAAAGAAAAATTGAAGTAGTTGGAAATCAGTGTTTACCGAGCCAACAGTGTCTACCATAGAGGGAATGGCCACTATTTCAGATGTTTCTGTGAAAGGTTAAGAATGAGGATGAAAAAGTGTTTTCTGTATTGGACAATGTGGGGTTGTTAGTGGTCTTGACATGAGCAGAAGTAAGAGATTGGAATTCAAATTCAATAATGTTTGAAAGCCTTGGTAAACAACTTCGGCTTTCCATTGAAATCTCACGGGTATTGTGCCCTGAGTAGTAAAGGGCAAAACTAAAACAGACAACTCTTACAAAGCCAAAACAAACCTTTTAAAGGATCAAGGATATCTGTGTGTATTCTGCCTACTAAATATATATGTATTTACACACACACATATATATACATATACATACGAATGTGTGTGTGTGTATGTGTGTGTGTGTATATATATATATATGTAAAAAATATATATATATATGTAAAATCCTCTTTTTAGGAAAAATAACATCTTCTAAAACCTCTTCAATATTTTATCTGCAGTGTTTGGCCTCCTGTAAAAAGTTATGAGCCATGGTTAATAAAACAGAGAGAGTGAGTGAGTGAGTGAGTGAGTGAGTGAGTGAATGAATGAGTAAATATGAATGATTGACCAAAAACAAATAAAGCAGCAGAGAAAAATAATAGGCCTATAGGGATTCAGATAATTGGATTTGACAGACAAGTTCCTTCAACAAATATTGAGTATTCAACAAGTCATAATCGAGTAACTGCTGAGTGCCAGGTGCTTGGGATATATCAGATAGTTCTGGTTTTTCTATTACCCAGATGCCTCCAAATACCTGATAACATTATTAATAAAGCTTTAATCTTAACTGTAATTGTCTCAATAAATAATACTGAATTCATCTATTGCCTTTGCTAAATACATTCAAAGTTATGTAATATACCATCTAAAACTGCAGTACCCAAACCCCGGGCCATAGGCTGGTACCAGTCTATGGCCTGTGAAGACCTGGGCCACAGAGCTCTGCATCCTCACCTCACCCTCACTCCCAGTCTATGGAAAAATTGTCTTCCATGAAACTTAGGAACTGAGGGGCCGCACTGCAAGAGGTGGGCAGCAGGTGAGTGAGCAAAGCTTCATTTGTATTTAAGTCGCTCCCCATCACTGGCATCACCACCTCAGCTCGCACCCCCCCCTTCTCTGGAAAAAGTGTCTTCAATGAAACCAGTCCCTGGTGCCAAAAAGATTGGGGACTACTGGTCTAAAAGATGGTACCTAACAATTCCCAAAATGTTTTGAGCTATCAGAGTATTCTTAGAGTAATTAGATGATCCTCTAAAGTGACTACTTGATTAAATGGATGTGTACTTTCAATTTTAGTGAGGACCTGTGGACTCTAAATAGATTATACTATTAAGCAGTGAGAGTGTGAGTGAATGAATGAGTAAATATGAATGATTGACCAGAAACAAATGAAGCAGCAGAGAAAAATAATAGGCCTACAGGGATTCAGATAATTGGACTTGACAGAAAAGTTCCTTCAACAGATATTAATTGAGCATTCAACAAATCATAATTGAGTAACTGCTAAGTACCAGGTGCTTGGGATATAATACTTGGTGCTTGGGATATCTCTTATAATTTATTGAATGCTGTCTTGGGGACTGTCTGTACATGGCTTTATTTGGATCAGGATTTCTTAAGTGAGACTTTTAAAAACTGACTTCTTTGTCAGGCTGTATTTTGGAAAGTTGAAGATATAAGGCAGATAGGTGGGATACTATACTTCTTCAGTATCCTAACAGCATCATGAGGGACAAAGACTAAACTTAAAAGGGTATCAATTTATTTGTTGAGTCATGCTAGAATATAGCATGCTTCTCTTACAGTGTAGGGATTTCATTTGTTGAAGTTTCCTGAACTGACAAGTTTCACTCATTGTAATATGAAATATACTAGTTACTAGTTAAATATACTAGCTAATAATATACTAGTTAAAAACCAACTCTTTCCTACCATATCAAGGGTAACTCATTTTTAGAAGGTTGTGAAAAATACGAATTTTTGTTGCCTTTAACATTTTCTAATTCTAATGAGCCTATTAAGAGATACTGTTAGATTAGTATTATAGTAGAGCATCCAACTACCTTACCTTGAAGAAAATATTCCTTAAGAGCAAATTGTTTTGTATTTCTATTCCACATTTATAAAGCAGCATTCAGACTTAATTTGCATCCTGAATGAGTTGACCTGTATTGGAGCAGTACTCCAATCAGAAAACCTACTCCCAGTTAATTTAACACATTTTAAAATTGTAGTTCTTACATAAATTGGTTCCTTGTGGGTTTGTTAATATGCATCACTTCTCAAAGCCAGTTATCACTTGAGTAAACTGATAAAAGTTTCTGGAATTGTAGTGTTTCTAATCCTATAAATCCTGGATCTATGTAATGTGCTTATTTGTTGCCCAACATCTCTGCCTCAGTCTAGCCACCTGAGATGAGTGAAGCAATGAGCTGCCTTCTTTGCCATTTATTTTTGTCATATATTTCTGTTTTTAAAATAAATTACTTCATATTTATATAATGTGATTAGTATATAAGAATTGTTTTATCAGTATTAGTCAAAGGATTATCCAAAGGTAAGTTTTCTTTCTTAAAAATATTATACATTGGAACGAATACTTTGAGAATTTACATTTCTATCAAATATTGCCCTTTCTAGACAATTGTGATTGTCATAATTAAAACTCCTTTTGCCTCCTCAGTTTTACCGGGCAGAAGTTGAAGCCCTCCATTCTTCGGGTATGACAGCAGTTGTTAAATTCATTGATTATGGAAACTATGAAGAGGTGCTACTAAGCAATATCAAGCCCATTCAAACAGAGGCATGGGTACGTGATCCAAATTCTGTACAAAGGCATAAGCTATTTTGAAGACAATACTTAGCTCTAAAAGATTAGTCATAGTTATACAAAATTTGCAAGTGGGAAATTATTTTGAATTTATAACATGCTACCCCTAAAGTAAAATTTTAATTTAATTCATACACTGAACTATAATAAACATGAATGCATTGGAATTATTTTTCCTGTATAATGTTTTATTGTATTATGCTTTGGAAATAGGTGGCCTTATTTACATGTCTGCCAAAATTTTGTATGTGTAAAGTGGGTTTTAGGCATATTTTGTTCCTACCTAGTTTGTTACTTTAAATTTTACTAAATCATGTCCAGCAGTTGTCAAATTTAAATCTCTCTTGGATACATGTATATTGTTTATTATTTTAGTTACCTGTAAAATTAAGAAAAACACTTTAAATTATGCATCAATTCATACTACATTTACTGCATACATATTTATATATGTACAGATTAACTATAAATATCTGTTTAATAATTATTTGATTAGTTTTGTTGCCAAATGTTGTGTCAAAGCTGTGTGATAACTTTGATGATGTAACTTAGAACTTAATGGCCTCATGGAGTCCATTTTATATGGGACTTATGTGACTTTATACAGATAGATCTTTAACAACATTTAGGGAAAAACAGTAGTGAAAGACATTACAATTAGTTTTGTAAAGTTTTTCTTAATTCTTTAATTTCTCTAATTTGTGGATAGCCATTAATAAAATTATCATTATAAGCCTATTGTTTGCTATTTCCCTAAAATATCAAATATGCTAGAAAATTATATCATCCAGACAGTAGCTTTCATCATTGAAAGATACATTGTTTTCCCATGAGCTGCTTTTAGTCTTCGTATTTTAAAATTTTTCTGTCACATCTTCACATCCTGCCCCAAAAAAGATAAATAACAACAACAAAAACCTTATAGCAGTAAACCATATTTTAGGCGATGGATCTTTAGTTTTTTACCTTTTTAGTATTAAAAAATTATCATTTTCTACATAATATTTCATATTTTACAGCTTATTACTAATGGTTCATACGTTTAATTAAGAGATCATTTTCTTCACTCTCATTCTCTAAAGTTTAACTGCTTTTTCCCGAAAAAGTAAAATACCACCAATACCTAATTTATGTCTGTCTTTTCTTGAACAAACTTGATGTAATATTAAGTTTACCTTTCTGATTCTCATATGATAGCTATTTTCATTCTTTTTCATTAATACTTTTAATCTAGTTTTGTTTGTAAACTAATTATTTATTGAATTTATATTTCTAAAAGAGTCTTGGTTTGCTATTCATTATATCTTCCCAGTTTTTTTAGCAATAGTAGTCAAATCTTCAAAATAGAGTTCTTATGTTATTTAGCTTTTTAAATTTTTTTTAGAAGATTTAATGAGGTTAATTTATTCTTTTCTCCCTAAAAAAAATTTAGTTTTTTTACGTTGTTTCTTCTCTCCTTCCTTTTGCTATTCCAGGGTGGCCATAACTGATGAGCACATTTGTTATTCCTCACTGTAGCTCTTCCATTCAGAGGTGTTTGGTCCTGAAGTGATAATTTTCTTTTTACAGTCAGTGACTGTTCCTTTTTCCCCCTTAATAGTCCTCATTGCTTTATCCTTGATTTTAGGTCTGTGTTAACTTAGCTGCACAATAAATTTATCAGGTGTCCCAACTTATTTAGTGATTCTGTTCTGAACCACAGCAGTACTTTCATAGTCTTCTTACACATTTGTGAATACTCATCTATGCTTTATGTGCTTTTGTGTTTTTTTTTTAAGTATTTTCTTTTTCTGCGATCAACTTAAAAATCTTTTATAAGATGCCTGAAATATTTTGCAGGAAGAAGCAGGATATACTCACTAAACCTTTGGGAGATTCTGGTATTTCTTTCCACCTACTTTTGTAATCAAATGATTGTTGATGTTTTGTGAATTTGCATAAATTAATGTAACATTTTTGGATCATGCACATCATTATTGAGGAAAAGATCAGCCTTCTTTATCCACATGAATAATTAACTTAGTTGCGAGAAATGTCTTCTTGAAATATAGAGGCCACCAACTTAATGTATCTTCACCCATTTGCATTAAAAAAATACATATGTGAGCATAAATATAAAAAAGCCTATGAAGAAGTACTCTGTCTGGCTGTCAGTACATGTAATGTAGAGTTAGTGTAGAGTTCGCTTAGCCTCTGAGAGTACTAATGTGGGGTCTGTGAGTACATTAATTTTTGTAACTAGGAATCTGTAACAAGTTTTAAGTTAATCAAAGATGTACAAAATTATCAAAAGCAAAACATTCACTGTACCAGTAAGAAGGAAACTCTAATTGTTAAGTCATGCTAGAAAAATTAAACGACTGCAAAGGTGCAGGGAAGTTGTTAGGGGCCTTAGCACAATCACATGATGGATTGTGGAATTTTTAATTTTTTAACTCTTGCACTATATATATGCTTTACCATTTTTTATTGTGAAATGGTATTGTATCTTTTATTAAGATTTATGTTTGTTATTGCTACAAGATTTTGGAAAACTTCTTGTTTTCCATGTTCAGTGATCATTTAGGGAAGATTTTTTTTCAAGTAGTTTGCAGAAAAACAATCAAACCTGCTTATAAACCAAAAGTCTTTATAGAAATCAGTTGCTTGTATTGTCTCTTAAAGGTGTAAGGCTAAATCATTATATAAAAAGCATGAAATATTAAGATACTCAATGACTAAGTCAAAATGTGTTGTATGGAAAATTAAAATAAATATCAAGTTAATATTTTAAATCTAAGTGTTAATGTTTTTCTCATAAGATTTAGGAATTATTTGCCTTAAATCTGTCTGTAGGCCAAATATCTATTTCCTCTGTCCATCTGGGTATACCTTCTTACTTCCAGAACATACTCACTCAGTGATAATAATTTGAGATTACCAAAATATATGTTATGATTATGATTAAATATTTTATTTTCTTCAGAATGATTTGTTAAACTTTTTGGTAAGTCATACTTTATTCTTGCTAGATTTTATCTGTTTCTTTTGGTTATCATAAGAGTCTCTCTTAATTTAGTGTCTTTATTGTAGTGAACTTCTTAATTAGCACACATAATGTGAGATTCACAGCTCATTATTAACTGGGTAAATGCTTTATTTTTTTAAAGAATCAGTTCTTTGAAAATAGCAGGGTTTTTTTCTTATTTTAGCAAAGTAAATGAAGCATTATGGAGTCTTGTGTTTTACTTGTAAAATTATATATGAGAAAACATTATTTTATGTTTCTCACCACTGTATGAGAATACATTAGGTGCAAAGAAAACTCTATTTGTGTTCCCTGCAGGCCCTTTCCAAATTAGTTCCTTTAAACTCTAAAACTCATTCCTGGAAACCGGTAAAAAGATGCCACAGGCAATTTGGAAGTGCTGTAAATACCTTAGTGCTGTTATTCAGGCAAACCTTTTGTATTTTGAGGGTGTTGTTGGTTCTGAATTGCTCTTCTATACCTGGGAAGACACTAAACTATCAAGTCTTGATTTTCTAAGTCTATTTGTGATCTAGCTTCTGTTGAGACTTTTATATCTAAAGAAATATTTTAGAACATGCTGATGTATAAATTTTCTTTTTAAAAATTCATAGTATCTGCTTCTTGGTATCAGGAAATGATCATTGTTCCAACTAGAAAAATTATGAATGTGTAGAAAATTGTTAGTTCTAAGACCTTAACATACATATCATCTTGGACAGTAATTCTGTAAAGTGACAGGTGGATTTTTATTGTCTTTTAGTTGATCATCCTATCTTAAGTGTTTTTCTGTGGAATTTTCATTTATTCAACAAATATTCATTGTATATCTGTTAGGTACCAGACACTGTTCTAGGTGAGGGGTATATATAACTCCATAAAACACACAAAAATCCCTGCCTTCTGCACAAAGTTAAGAGGGTTAGAGTTTCTGTTACATGAAATAAACTTAGATATCTCATTAGTGTCTTTATTTTTACTTCTTAAAGCTTTAAAACAAAACACAAGTAGAGAAAATCCTGTTGTTTACTGAAGTTTTAATTTAAATAATGTGTATGTCTTTATTTTATTTCACATTAGTTTGAAGGTGAACTTAATATGGAAGAAGAAGATATAACATAATGAATTTTACCTATTTAAAAAGTTTTTATATATCTATTTTATCTATTTAAAAAGTAAAATTTGTTTTTAGGAGGGTTTGGGTTCTGTTTTTTATAATTACTTATTTTTGTGTTAGCATACTTTGAAAAAAAGAACTATCTCAAGTTTTAGTTTTGAAGTAACTTTGCACAAAATTTAATTCATAATGACATACTAGGGATCAGATTTGAAAGTTACCTTTTCAAATTCAAATAACATCAATAAAAAGCCATAAATTATTCTATCACTAAATTAAAAAGAAACATAGAACCAAAATAACCCCCAACCTATTTAATGAGGAAGGAGTTGTGGTATATAAATTAATAGGTTTAAAAATGAATCCTAAATGTATTAGAACAAGGTCATGTTAGTAATTTTAATGGCATAGTGATAAAATTAGGCTATATCTAGTTTGTATTTGAATCAAAAGATCATAGTAATATTAAAAAGAAGATAATTGTTATAGAAACCATTAACTTCAAAGGAAGGTTAGGATTATGTAACAATGAGGTTCTGCCAATTAGTATTTAGTAAAAAGTGCAAGGATGTGTTTGATCATAGTTCCACAGTTTTTTCATTCTTACTGATAAATTCTTAAATTAGTGATTATAATTTTTTCATACTTAAATTTCTACACTAAAAATATAATTTGGTTAAGGTAACTGAAATACATTTTCTTCCACCATATGTATCTTGGGAAAGGTTCCTTTCAAAGGTTGCCATATGGGCAGAGCCCATTTTCTTTTGTAATGTAAATAACAAAGTAAATCAGAAGCAAATTGTATAGTTAGTTTAGCCCCATTTAAGAACATAATCTTCAAATCATGGACCA